GTTAGGATCCATTCAAAGTTACTCCCATATTAGATAATGACATAAGATCTTCAAATTCTTCACATGCAAGTAGTTCAAATCGAGACCCCCAAATTTCACGATAATCTGATTTCACGATAATCCGTAACAATAATTGAATTCAAGAGTACGTATACGTAACTTTTAAAACTTGTATGTAAAACAAAATAAGGTTTTTGGTGATATTTCTTTGACTTACGTACATAAGAGTACGTACAAATATTGATCAAATGATAGAAATTACCACAATGTTCAAAAATAAACTAGTTCCAAGAATGATATTCGATTAGTTTTTTTTTAAACCTTACAATATATTCCCTTTAAAGATAAAAAGATTATCATCCATGATATGTGCAAAATACCCAATATAAAGCTAACCGTCTTCCTTTTACTATATTTATTTAAATAATATTAATATTATTAAAAAAAGGTTAATAAGTACAAGATATAGACACTTTTAATACTTTTTAATACTTTTTAATACTTACGATAAAAGGTCAAGTATTGCAAAAATAAGGATAGGATAAAGCACCCATGGAGAAGGTAAATAAGGTGAACAAGGAGTTAAACATGTTATAACCTATATTCAATAAAATTTATTGAAATGAATAAAATTTAAAATTTTATTAAAAATTTATAAACACAAAATATATTAAACAAATATACATTAAATAAATATGATGATGATAACGATAAAGTAATGACCTTTAAAACCACAATAATAAGTTTTAACAGATTCCACCAGCTAATATCTTCAAATATATAAGAATACATGGCCACAATGATATATGACAGCCGTGATATCAAAGTTGATGATGGAGTTAAACGAATTACAGCTCTTGAGTTTTCATGAAGTGAACCATTCTTTAATATTATATAGATAAATGTCAGCAATGGGATCATGAAGTAATGGATCATGAAGCAACGGATCATGAAGTAATGGGGATCATGAAGTAATGGGGATCATGAAGAAACGAATAATTAGCCAAATAATAGGAAGTAATCTTTTAATAAACTTTACAAGGTACCTGTTCAACAACAAAATCAGATTCAACGGTGGTATTAATAAAATTCGGAGTTGTTGATATCCCATCAGTAGTTTCAATATTTATTCTTCGTCTTCTTAATTCTGATTCATTTATTTCATTTTCATCAGTAGATTCTGATGTTTCTGGCATTGAAATTGGATACGTTAAAATAGAACGAGGAAAAAAAAAATTGGAGAGTTTAAATAGAAGTACTTTACCAGGATTTGTTGTAACTGTACTAGTATTTGATGGAATTCGTGAAAGTTTTTCGGGTTCCAAATGTGAACTACTTGCATGTGAAGAATTTGAAGATCTTATGTCATTATCTAATATGGGAGTAACTTTGAATGGATCCTAAC